TTCGCTTTAGACAGCAGGTGGCGCTCCACGATAACAAAACCAGTGTAGCTGCTTTAAACCAACAGTTTGAATTCACATGCAAGTCTGGGATGTGGTTTAATTAAGCTAGAAGTTACTCAAAACTAGCCTGGCATCAAGCATGCTACTAACCTTGTTCCATAGTACTCTCAGAAGAACTCTGGAGTAGCCTACCATCCCAAAATACTGACATAAAGTTGCATGGTGATATCATCAGAGTACCATGGTATTGTCAAAGCATGCCCATTTTGTTAATTTTTGCCCATTTGCTGTCAAAAGCAGCCTTCAGCAGTTTCCCATAATTCACACGGTTGACAATAATCGAAATAAAGACCCTGAAGAGCTGCTTCACAGCGGAAACTGATGCATTAACACGGTTATTTCCCCGTCCATCGCTGTGGAGCTGCTTGACAACGATCTGTATCATATCAAATGCTGTAGAAACAAACATGCCTTGAGGCTCTGAGCTGGAAACATGGGATTATTTTCTGTGAATTGTACATGTTTTCATGCGTCCTGTAAAAAGAGCATTGCACAAACATCTGCAGAGGTCAGAAGGTCATCAGTCAGCACTGTTACAGTGTTATCTAGCCGTACACACAGCTGTTCATTGACTGTATTTATCACAGCTCATCCGGTGCTGTTGAGAAAGGCCGTCTGTAGTGTTTGTGGCTCCAGGCTGAGCTTTAGAGGCTCTTTAACCAAAACAAGCACAAGTCTTCAGATAAGATTGTCACGTCGTACTCTTCTGGTCTTGTTCTACGTGTGTTACTTTGTTTGTTTTCAGCTTCTGACAGCTCACAGCACATCTCTTCACATGTTTCAGATCCTTAGTGAAGAAAGTGCCAAATATATAGAATCACTTGGACAAACAAACACATATATTCTTGTTTTTAATGGAAGCTGATGTGCAGAAAAACTATAAATAACCAATACAATTCTAGTTATGCATCAAACATAGTCAAACTTCTTCACGCGTCTCAGAACTTCTCCTGAAGTTATGAACAATTGAATGTGTTCTGGTTCACAATAATGCTTTAAAAACCATCAGCACGAGAGCATTTCTTATCTATAGTTTATGGAATGTTTAAGTTTGATGTTCATCTATCATCTCATTTTTTGGAACAAGTTGTAACATTTTTTAAATGTTAGATTCTAACATCTAAACTTGTTCCAAAAATTCAAAAGTAACATTCGCATAATGTTTGCAAAATGATACAAAGGAGCGTTCCCTGAACGTTTGCATAACCAAGAAAACATGTTTTTTTTTTAAAAACTGGAAGCCAGAAATAACATTTTCATAACTTAAATGGAATATTAGCAAAACGGTCTCAGAGCATATTTTTGTTAGCTGTATTGTTAATTTATTTCTACTGATAATATTTAGATTATTTAGATAGAAATGTGTCAACTAAACCTCCACTTGCCTCTTTTTTGTTGTTGATAATCTGAAATAGATTAATTGATATTTCTTGTATTTGAGCGTTTGCTATCTGAAGAGTCTAGAGCAGAACACACTGTAACTGTACTAAACAACTTTAACATGCTGTCGAGGCGCATGTTTGAATGATTAATCGCGCGATCATGTTCAATGTTACAAAATGACGAGCCTCCAGCTCAGCGACCAATCAGCGCCCGAGCTGCAGCGGGCGTGACGTCACCGAGGGATGCTGCAAGTTCAGCTGTTGCGTCACACCAAAGGTCAGGTTAGGGTCGGGTCCGATCGAGTATTTCCACAAAGTGAATGATTCAATGATTAACTGGAGTTATGATGCGTGTTCGGCGGAGTAATCATTCACTCTGTGTGTGTGTGTGT